TAATAAAAATGGTGATAGACCATTTTAATGAATAAAAAATTATTAAAAAACCATAGATTCACTGAGAGCTGCTGAGCCCATATGTCCCTTTCATTCCCCCAGCCCCTAATGAAGAGCAGCTTTTCTTTGCAGAAGATGTGATTCTAGTTTCTTCACAGATTTTCCTACAAAAAAGACTGGGAGTGGGGAGAGGAAGCCTCAGAAAAGAGATTTCCAGATATACTCTGCCTATAAGACAGCACCAGCCTGGGTCTGCATGCAGAGACAAGAGGAGGTGTGAGAGCTGTGAGCAGTGGGACTGTTCTGCTGCTGCAGCTGTGTGCAGTCAGGGCAACCCTTTACCTGGGGAATTCCAGCTGGAGCTGAGCTACCAGGAAAGGGCAGGACATCAGGACAGACATTAACACTACATGTATAAAAATGCATAAGCAAAAAACCACTGAAGAAATAAAACTGAATCAAGCTGATAGGCAGATAGCTTGGTCAAATGCATGAAGAATCGTAGAGTGATTTAGATTGAAACAGATCCTTGGGGTCATCTAGTTCCAAGATCTCCGTCGTGGGCACAGAACCTTCCACTACACCAGGATGCTCAGAGCCTGGCCTTGAACACTTCCAAGCATAGGACACCTATAACTTCTCTGAAGCCTTCTCTCCTCCAGGCTGAACAGCCACAGCCCTCTCTGTCTTCACTGGAGAGGTGTTCCAGCCTTCTGATCAACTTAGGGATCCTCCTACAGACTCATTCCACTGCTACAGAAATCAAGACAAAACCAATAAGAAGAATATACAGGCTGCTGTCAACAGTGCAGGGAGTAAAAGGAAAACAGTTTTGGAAAAGATTTTGAATTCATGAAAGTGTAGATTTGCTGGAACTAGACTAGAACTGCTAGAGCAAACACAGGGCTTAGAAATCATATCACTTCTAGTAATGGGTGAGATAGTAAGTTAACTAGGGCAGAACATGGTGTGAATTATGGATATTGCTTCATACACTTGACCTGAAGTGGTTATTACTATTCCTGAATACCACTACACAGATGGTACCCTGTAGAGCCCCTCATCATGTTTATGGGTAACCAATTCTGGGTAAAAAATAAATGCAGTTTTGGAGGAGACTTTTGTTCAAGAGATAGATGTTAACTCGCCGACTTTAACAATGCCAAGGATTCTCAGCCATGCTTGGCAGAAGAGGGATATTAGCTGTTTAACAATAAACACAGAAATGTAGATGTTACAGTAATCTGATTCCACATAGGTAATGAAAACAGCTGCAATGTGATATCAGCAAATAGTTTTTCTAGGCTGGAAAAGTAAACAGCAACTACTTGTTGCAAACATTGGAAACCATTTGGGTGCAGCAGGGGTGACTGAATATCCCTACAATGACACAGGATGTGTGCTGGAGTTCGTAATTGCAAACATGCAAAGTTTTCTAGTTGTCTTCTGAATTTTTACTTCAGTGTTTCTGTTTCTTCCTTCAGGTGTCATACAGGATGCTGTGGCCACTGGCATCTATTGTTCATCTATCACAGCATGATTGTTATGGTGGTGTTTTTCCCTTAAAATGTTGAAGAATAGTCATAGCACACTGAACCCTTGAGAAACAGAAAATGCCAGAGAACAGTATGGAGCAGGGAGAATCACACATGTGGCTAAGTTTTAACTATGCTGGCAGCATCTGAAAAGGACTTTTCTTCCTGCAGAGCCAGCTGTGTTATAAAACCCCACAGCCTTTTGATAGATCCAGCATTCCAGCCTCCAATCAAGCTGGCAGACATGTCAGAAACGTCTGGGTATTTTTCAGTTGTTAAGTCTCTCACTTTGCTTTAATAATTTTTTTTACATGACAACTGTCTGTACCCTGGGCTGAGGTGATAGCACATCTGTGTTAACGCTAATTTCAAAATTACCCAATATGTAATATGGATTTCTGCACAAAGCACTAGATGTTTGTGGATTAGTGATCAACCATGGCTCTGCATATACTTATGGTGACCTGTTCTCAGCTTCTCATACTTGTAAATGTCTTTGTTTCTGTGCACAGTATTCCATTCAAAACTGTTTGCAGAGTGTTCTGACATGTAAGGGAAGTGAATGACTGTTCTATGATGCCAGCTGCTCTTTCAGACAGGACAGCTGAAAAGTGTGTTCCTCCTTTCAGAGGAAAGGAGCACATTTTTTTCTGAACCAGGGAGTATCAGTGGGAAGTCTTGGATTAAGAAGAATTAACATCAGACTTTCAAGCACAGCGATGCTTTTTCTGTTTTAGCGGGAAAAAAGACAATATGTTTTACATATTCCTTTGTAGTCTTCTGGCACAATGAATGAACTGACTGTGTAGTGGCTAAAAGCCTACATTGTTTAGTACCACACAATAATGCAATTTAGACCTGCTATTTAGTCTGAAGGGAAGTTTCACTGACTTTCCCAAGATGTTAAAGAATATTAAAATGGTTTCAAATGGCCATGTACATAGAGTAAAAAAGCTTAACCCCTAATCAGTATTGATTTATTTTGTGAAGGGCACTGTAACAACATAGCTGGTTTTTATTCTACTTCATAGAGCTGTCTCTGTGAGAGAGCATCAAGATGGAACAAATTTGCCTAAGTGAAAATATTTAAGATTTTCTCTTTAATAAACAGTTCTCAGATGTGGAGTCAGTGCATTGCATCAAAGGTGTAGAATACAGAGCGCTTGGCAGCAACAACTCTTTAGCCCAATAGAAGTTTGTCCTAGGATATATCATGAAATTTTCACTTCACTCAGATTAACTGAGATTTGACAGAAACAAATCTTGAGCATTAATCTGCAGGTCTTCTAGAATTGTTGCACTGGATAGTACTCACTACTTGTTTGAAGGACCAATTTATAAGGATTTCCACATTACACTGAGCTGGAAAAATAGTGGTACAGCTGGTACAAATAACTGTTAAAAATTATTTCACCAGACCTTGTGCTCCTGATTCCATCACATAGTCCAGCAAACGGAGTACCTTGATGTTCTAGTATCCTTTTGTGTTTTTACATACCAACATTTATCATATATAAACTTAACATCTCTTTGGGAGAGGTTTAATCTTTTCCTCAATGTGTATATGGTACCTAAAAGGGTAGTTTTTTACTGGGTCTTCAAGATGCTTTGCTGTCCAATTAGAACTGTAAATAATATAAATAAATGTATATAGGCCTGTGAATATTCACTTAGAGTACATGTATTTTTTCTTTGTTTAAATTAAAAATTAATTTACAACTACAAGAATATAATTATTGTTATAATTTAATTAGTATTATTGTCACATAATTCTTTTTCCAAAAATAAATTACTATGCTATTATTGAGTAAAGAACATAGCTAAACATGCATACATATTGTAAAGACTTTTTAAATCTGTATTTTTTCATATAGTGTGAACACAGAGGTACAGAAAATACTTTTGTTAGAAGGGCAGGAGTTTCTCAGCAATCACATAAAAACAACAACAAAAAAATGGTTTAGTGATCAGATTTCTGAATGGGTTATTCCTATGCTGGGCTGCTATACTAGGTTGTTTACACAAATTCTCTGGAGCAGAATAAGTCCTGATTTTCAGATAAAAAGGATTGATTGCCAGAAATTGTAGGTCTCAACACTTTTAAAAATCTACTTTTAAGAAAAGACCTAATCTGAAAAGCAAAAGTTATACCATGTGCATAGTCTTTATATGCTTGCTACTGAGACCAGTCTTAAAATGTTAGCAATAGATGCAAGATATCAATGAGCAACTAATTGCTTCTATCTAGAAATGCAAGAAGACTAAAATAATGACTGATGGATAGTCTGTTGTGCTGGCTAGCAGAAATAAGAATTTCATGCTCTCTCAGTGAATAGTTGACTCTAATCTTCAAGTCATTTATAGAAATGGCAATATTATAAAATATAAAAAAAAAAAATCAACCAGATTTGATAAAATCAACCATTTTCATAAAAAGTTGCCTTCTGATATCTCCCTTGTTAGTGAATTGTTAATGTATTATGTTCTAATAGTCTGGACTTCTCTAAAATCCAGTAGTATTGTGTGCCTGTATGTGAGTTAGCTGAATACTGCGCTGAGTTGATTGTACTTGCTTAAATGATACAGTTCCTATAAAAGTGCTTTCCTAGTTCAGTAAATAATTGGGTGTGGATATATTTCCTAATTTCTTATTTTTCTCTTCATCACCATTGCATTAACTAGCCATTCAAATTTTTATGAAGTATCTAGTCCATGAAATATGTAATCATTACTATTCTTGGTTGTATCTCTCTGCAAACTAAAATTAACCAAATATTCAATGACAATCCCAAAGCTGCAGAAAGAAATGTGTCAAAACTAAAAATGGAATAAAACAGCAGAAAACTGGGACTTTTAAAGAACAAGGTTACATCTCATGTTCTCTTATCCCTGGATTTGAGTTGGACCAGTTTATTCCAGTTCTAAAATTCACTGAACGAATTCCGACAATGCTATATATTCGGTATACTGCTTTGGATGCTAAGCATCATGTACTTTTCACCTTAAAAGTATTAATCTTCAAAGGATGACAGCAATTTATGGGTTATTTGCATGTTAAGTGGTTGTTCACCACGAGTCACTATCTGAAATGTCAGTGGAAGTTCTGACAACTAGCAATCATGCAGCTCACGATTTCATTAGCATATGCTAATTTGGCCAAGTTCACCCAAATTCATTATGTTACGACATAACAAAATAAGGACATAAAACTTGTCTATCGGAATGATGTTAGCATTGTCACACTTGACAGGAAAGATGGAGTAGGCAAGAATTTTCTTTGGAATATTTGAGATAGTACATTGATGATTTTCAACACATTCACATCATGAATTTATAGGATAAGGTGTTAAGCACATGTTTCAGGTCCATACAAAATCCCTTCTGACAGAACAGCCTTTTCAGTTGTAGAAAAGATACAAGCAAAGAAAAAAAATTAAAGTCAAATAAAGCTGTTAGTTCTTGACTTATGAGTTAGAACAAGTTTCATTCCAGCAAAACTTGTATCTTAGCATTCTCACAGTACAAGAGTGACACTGCAATATCTTTATATGACAACAGCTTGAAGTAGTCGGAAACAAATCATGATGTCCAATGGGATTGGAGGTTGAATTTCATTTCCATCCAGACGAAGGTATCGGAGGCGAGGGATGTTGCCATAATAACCATAATCTTCTTCTAGGGCAATGGAAACTGGGCATATCTGAGTACCATTGACACCTGAAAATGTAGATTAACTTGTTAGTTATTTCTATGGGAAAAGTTCATGAAGATAAAATTCACTCAGGACACAAATAAAGTAACCTTCCACTCATGTTAGCATGGGAGACTGTTGCTTTTGTTGCTGTTTAAATACTTTGTTGATTGAATGCAAGCAATATATAATATAAATTCATATAATATGATCTGGATCAATGAATCACATATTTACTGTGCTGCAATTATGGAAAAAAGATCATTAGATGAATAGCTTACCCTCGGACTAAGAGGATACTAAGTTAGACAACTACATGGTAAGCATTGAGAAATGGCTCTTCACACTCTGAGTGAGCAAGGCAAGAATACTTCTGAGGGGTTTTAAACATCTTATTTCAATGACAGCACACTAATTTCAGGCTGATAATATTCCCTACGAAGATCTTGAACTCAAAACAATGGCAGTATTGAATCAGAGGAACTTTTTGCATAGTGTTTTTAAGTTTTAACATCTGTACTTTTCTGTTCTCTCACATTATTAAGTGGAGTTGATTTTAATTGCAAGAATATACCTTATGCAGTGGGATATTTTTCTTTCTAATCTGAAAGCTAACAAATCCTCAAAATTCTACGTACATCACACATAATTTGTTACTGTACAGATCAAATTTGGAACTATGGATTCAATCATTACCCGTATTTGTAAGTGTTGAATACCTTGGGCTTTTTGTCCCCTCAAGGTACCTCTGCACTGTCACTTGGCTAAAATGCTTTTTACAGTTTGTCTTCAGCTGTTAAATAGTCAGGCAACTGCTGCCTTATTTCAGCCTCAAAACAACCTCTAGAAAACACTGAAGTGGGGTTTGTTTACTAATGCTGTCAGTTCCTTTGACCAAATTATGATATTTTTTGATTCATCTGACTGCTTGAGGATCTTGGCCCCAGATTAACTGAAAAAAAAGGGAATAGAACACATGTATGAACAGATTTTTTTTTTGAGCAAGTTTTTTTACTAAAAAGAGATCGGAAAAAAAAATTTCCCTTTATATTTAGTAATGATATCATGCACAAATCTGAGTACAATCCCCAAAATCAGAGCAACATTATGAAGTAAAAATAACAACACAACTTACTTTTTTTTTTTCCCCATAACATTTTTTCTCTTTTTCCTTCACTCTATTTTGAAAAACTGCCCAGATGTTTGCAACATCTTGGAAGTGGACTTTGTCTTTGTCATGGAAACTAGATAAATACATCCAGTTGGCCAAGGACTGAAGTTTTTTTTTAATATATCCGTGATGTTAAAATGTGTTTATCTTGTGAAATTTGATTAATGTTGGCAGAGCTTTTGGTATTCTTGGAAGGAACAAGCTACAACTTTTTTTAATGTGTGAATTTACAGCACAGAAAGTTTAAGAATTTTCATTACAAAAGCAGCTATTAAATGTTTTAGGTAAATCAACACTATCTAGTAGACTGTATCTGCTTTGTTTGGTCAGCACTACTCTTCATAGAGACAAGATGGCTTCAAGTGTATCCTAAATCTCTGTCTTCTCTGACCTAGAAACTATCTCACTGCAGTCATTTTTACCAGGTCAATTACTGCAGCCTTGAAGTGAGGCAGCAGTTATCTAACCACCTAGGCCACCTAGGAAGAAGTTGTTTCCTGATGATATGTGGTATGAATTGGTTTGGGTTCTACTGTTCTCTTCCCATAAACAGTAAATCCAACCCAAACTATCAGGGGAGTAACAGTCTCTCTCTCTTTTTCTCTCTTTCAATTCTCTTCATGGATCTTTTACTGAATTTTATTTAAGTAGGAGGAACAGGTCTTTCCTTTCAGAGGAACAATTCACCTTGCCTAAACTGATCCACACAGAAGTTAATTGTCAACCTAAGTAAACCATTTAGGCTGTCTTTGTAAACTCTAGAGAGAGATGAGTACTTCCAAAAGGGGACTGACAGGTCCTTAGGATGGGATGAATTTCCCTATGTGGTTGTGTATCCCTTTCCATTGAGCAGGAGGTCTGTACAGATACCACAAATTAGATAAAAAAATCTAGGATAGTTTATTCAAAGAAGATGATTTCCACCACTTGCCAACAGAATTGTTATGTCCTTTAATATTTAAACATGAAACCTAGAGCTGCCGTAAGGGAAAACTTCCAGAGGTTCTCATTAGTGACTAATACTGTATGTCTGCTGATGAAGTGCAGAAGATCCTGTTTCTTTTCCAGTGAAACTTATAATTTAGAAACAAAATATAGATACACGGCCCAAGAATTTTTTCTGTTTCTCTACATGTGGAATAATAGTTCACAGTATCTACCTCAGCCTACTGGTATTCCTCCAGGGGAACTTACTGTTTGCTCCCCTCCATTTGTCCTTTGGTAGCACTGTAATTATCCCACCTGCTTACCCTTGCCCTCTTGTTACATCATCATTTCACACCTTCTCTTTGTTTACTTTACCATTCTCTTCTCCACTATTTAACAACTCCCCAGAGCCCCACAAGTGTATCTCCATGGTAAATATCTAGGCATGTGTGTTTTAAAATGCCATGGAACAAATGTATTCTGGTTTTAAGTTGATTTCAATTCCAAAATTAGAATAGTTTTTTTCCTCTGTGTACTGATATCCTTAGTGAAGGGATTGCAGGTGAAATTCTTATTCCACTGAGACAAATGATGAGGCTATCATTGGCTTTCCTGGGCTTCAGAAGGGAGCCTTATATCTTCATAAATGGTCTCTGGAGAAATAAGGCCGTGCACTTATATGAAGAATTGATATTACAAAATAACGTACAATAAAACATAGACAAATGGTATTTACATAGAAATGCTGATGTCTGAACTCTTGCAATAACAACAGTGTAACTATGATTCACCAAGAGGAAATAAAGCAGTGATTTGCAGTTGTGAAGGAATACCTGAGAATTAAAATTGTGAAAAGGACTTGTACTGCACACATAAAAGTAAACGTTCAGCAGGACTCTTTTGTGAAGGAAGCAAATCAAGACTTTACAGATATTTTTCTTTCAAACCTTTCACATTGATTATCTTAAAATAATGACTGATCTGTGTTTAAGAAGAGAAAACCAATCTTAAGAATTAATATCAGCTCTTATTACTTTGGCCTAATGGAATTACATACCTTGTTTGCAATCCTAAAGGCCCTTTAAGATATTATCTATTAGAGCAATGTTTTATGAAGACTATGTCATTATCCCTTACTTCTTGAACAATTATGCTCTGTGGTAAAATACAATTTTCATTTAAAGCATCAGGTTGCAACTATTTTATATTCAGTTACTCAGAATTCTTATTTGTCTTTTGTCTGAAGACAGTTTTGTGCTTAAGTTGACTGATTTTTAAAAAGTGGTAAAGGCATTAAGGAATAGAAGACTTGTGGAAAACTATCATGACTCAGTTTCACAGATCATGCATTGCTGGAACATGAGACTTGATTTTGCACATACTATAAAAGTTAATTTTCATGGTCTTAAGCTTTGTTATACTTATTCAGGGAAGGAAGAAGACTGAACAGCTCTTTAAATACTACCTAGACATAAAACTGTTCTTAAACTGGAAGGGCTACATTCCACTGATTTCAATTTTGTGTCCACTTGAAGTGACAGAATAAAGTCTGCACCTGAGGCCTTGCACTTAAGCAATTAAAATAAATCCCTTAATAACCAGGAGGCAATTAAATATGTTCAGGAACAACATCTGTCATAAGCTTTAACTCTAATTAACAGTTAGAATTCTTGCAGGCCACTTAAATATGTGACAGTTATGCAAATATTTTTTTATTTACATGATTTCACACTTTCATTTTTCCAAATGCTGTGAATAAATGTAAACTATCAATACGTATTTTCCTTTCATAGGACCTTTTTTTGTGCAAAAGCCAAACGATTTTTTTAGTATATTTGTGAACTACAGTGGCACAAAAAAGTGGCAAGGGACCATGTATTCAATTAAATCACTGGATGGGAAGATAAATATGGAAACTTGGCTTCCTTCTGTGCAGTGGTGAATAAAAGGTCATCATATTTATTTGGCTTTTGTCATGAAAAGAAGAACTTCCTGAGTAGATACTTTCGTTATACAGAGTATGTTATGTCTCTAACCACCACACCCCCTCTGTACCTGGATGAATTTGGAAACAGTCCTGGAAGTGAAACTATTAAAGCCAACCAACTTCTGTTGTTTTGGGTACAAAACCTCAGCTCACTTATACAAAATGGAAAACTTTTGAGGGCATAAATCTTAGTAGAACAAATATGCTGTAAAATCAGTAAAACACAAAAACATTTTGCTCAGAGGGGTGGTAGATGCTCCATCCCCGGCAAATTTCAAGGTCAGGCTGGATAGGGCTCTGCATTTTTCCTGGAAGGTTGGAATAAATGACCTCTAGAGGTCCATTCTTTCCCAAATTCAATGATTCTATGATTTTAATCGCTTTATCTCAAAGAACATTTTTATGGTTAAGTAGACATTTAAATTAGATATGGTTTTGAATGGTCCCACACTGGCAATACACACTTACTTTTGATTTTGTTGTGATCAAGATGAAGGTGCTCAAGGTGAGCATTGATTGGTGGAACTTTAGTGAGCTGATTGTGAGACAGCTGTAGGTCTAGAATAGATGAAACGTTAAACCCATTTGGAGGGATACCATCATCAGATAATTTATTGTAGTTCAGCCTAAGGAAAGTCACTTTGGGTATTGCACTGAAGTAGTTTTCTGGTATAACTTCAATGGAGTTGTTGTCCAAAAAAAGCTGGAGTGTATTAGCTGGAATGCTTAAAGGCATTTTCTTGAGTGAATTTTTTGCTATGTTGAGTTGCATAAGGTTGTTGAGTCCTTGGAAGGTGTCACTTTGAAGAGCGCTGTCCAACAAACTGTTCTGGTGCAGGTCTAACATAGTAAGGTTTTCCAAGTGGCTAAAGACTCCTTCTGGGATTCTGGAGATTTTGTTTCTAGCTAGTCTTAGCTGTTCCAGACCCACTGGTAATGGGGCAGGCACCTCTTCCAATTCGTTCTCTTCAAGGAATAAGTAAAGCAGTCTTTTCAGCTTGCTCAGCACACCACTCTCAATTCCACTGTTGGTGATCTTATTCTTGTTCAGATTGATCCATCTCAGATGAGTGGCATTCACAAAAGGCTTCTCTGAAATTGTTTCAATTTGATTGTTTTGAAGATAGAGGTACCAAATTCTTGCTGGAATTGGAGGTATTTCTTTAAGTCCTTTGTTATCACAGTATAATGCATTGGGGAAACTAGGAGGACAAAAGCATTCCTGTGGACACTCAGAAGTATAGTGAGACCAATGGTCAGGATCCAGATCATCATAAACTTGTCTCACAGTTCGAGTCCACACGGAATTGACCAAGAATAAGAGCAAAAGGCTTGTATAGACTTTTAGAATCATGGTGTTTGCCTTGGAAGGGGAAAAAAACCAATTAGCTGTTTCTCAATAAAACTCCCTAGCAGCATACTAGCTTAACAAAAGTTTTGCATATAAAATAATATTTCCTTTATAAACAGCCAAATTCTGTCCTCTAGAGTATTATCCTGTTAATGAAAAACTGAAAAGCAATATAAGAGGTGCAAACAATTCTCTGCTATATGTTGATAAACATTTCCCTGGTTCTTAGATGACACACTGGCTACCAGTTTAGCTGATGCTCATGCAAGTATAATTTCAAAGAATATGAAAATATGCATAATTTTTAGACAATCAACATCTCTTTTAAATTTGTGTAAGTTTTCCTGTACAGACCTATAATCTACATTATATAATGGCTGATCATCAGAAAAGATAGTATTACCACGATAATATAAATACTATTGTACAAAGCGTTCCTCCTTTTGGAATTAATCATACCCTCTTTTCTATTTTTGCTCTCTCTTAAATTATAATGGCATCTGGATCAGATTTTCCAGGGTCTTTTGTCTTCATTGAAAAGTGGAAGATCAAATAGTGTTTTAACAGCTGTTTGTTGGGCATGTTCTTAAAAGCTTGGAGGGAATATGTTTGACTAATCCATTCCCCGCCTCACTCTCTCATATCCAAAGTTACAAATTTCCTCCCCTAAAGCAAACAGACAAAACAAATGCCTGCTTTAAATGACACAAAAAATAAATCCTAACCAAAATATGTCCACAAACAGTAAATCCTAACCAAACTGTTCATATGCATTTATGCATATTTTAACTATTTTTCTTATTTGTTTTTTTTAGCCTCTTCTACTATTAAATTATGAACAAAAACATTACTGATAATTTACTCAGAAAGTAAATAATTGTGTAGCACAAAACCAGTGCCTTACAAACTGTTATCTTGTTTACTGCCTCATGAAGATTAACAAGCATTTTGAAATGTAAAGGTAAAAGACTGATAGCTGAAATTTTTTGGTCAAAATGAGGAGATTTGTCTTGGCAAAAATAGCGTTTAAATAAATAATAAATTCTCTCACAGGATTAATGCATCAGTAAGGTTAAGAGCTCAGTTCAGTTGCTGAATATGATATGTAGTCATTTATTAGTTTTCAACATTGTCATTAGCAGTAACAAGTGCTATAGCTATCCTATAGCTTTTCCAGCCCCAGAAACTGCTATCTGGAGACATTCCAAAGAAAGGGACAAATAAAGTACTTCTAAAGAATAGCATTTCTATTTCACACTGTGAATTTGCAACCTTCTTACTCTGTAAATATCCATCATCCTAATAACAATTAAAAAAATAGATATAAAGAAATTTACCTTGTTAGTCAAGCTCCTGGAGCTATCTGAAGCCAGTTAGAAATCACTGTAAATTCACCGCTTTTGGCTGCTAACCACTGTGTTTGTTTCCTGTCCTCCTAAGAATTAGCAGCATATAAAACTGGAAGTACATGCTAGTATTCCCAGATGTATTTCCATGCACACCTTATTAGCTATTGCTTCTAGTTTGACATTGTTTCAGAGTTTGGGCTTACCTCAGCTTTCTTGGATCTTCTTCTCTTTCTATTGGTCCCTGTTGTTAGACTGTAATAGCTTGAGTCAGGCTACAAGCCGTGTTCTAGGAATACAGCCTCATATATACGCATCAGTGCTTACAGCTTTTAACCCCTGAAACTGCCAAGGCACCTCAGCACCTAGGCAGGGAAAGAAGGAAATCCTGGCCTTAAAATCAAGCAGCCACAGAGCTGAAGGCATTTGATTTTTTTAGGTTCTAGCAGATGAGGGGAGCTGGCCTAGATGAAACAGGTAACCCAAAGTGTATATTTATTCAACATTTTTGTTAGAAGATACTTTACATGCAAAGCTGACTTACATCATAACTCATTCTCATAATACCTGAATTGGCCACAAAGAATTAAAACCAGTGCCATCTGTTTCTACGGAAATATTTTATTTGATTTTTATTAAATGCAGATGCTGTCATGCCATTTAAAGACAAAATTCTTGATTAGGAGAAGAAGAGAGCAAAAGCATTTGCTAAGAATTTTTTAATAACGTATTTTCAGTTCTTTAAAGATTAAATCTTACCTCTTCTTTTTTGTTCAGAGAGATATTTACATATATTTCTATAAAGTCATAATATTCCCCAGTGCCTCCTGCAATATTCTTTTATCACTGATCTAAAGCAAACTCTTTGCAGCCAACTTGCTCTCCAAAGACAGACACATATTTCTCACATTAAGTATCTTGGAAGATTTTGTTCTCCTTTTTAGTCCAAACTTAAATTAACAACTTCATATCAGAAAAGCTATTCATGTTCAAAGCCAGAACAATGACATAAATATTTTAAGGGAAAAGATAATGAAAAATATTGAAAACATAAAATAAATCATGGTACTTTTATTGAGTTATATTAGTTTTAAAACTTAGTTGCATAATTGTTTTAATTCAGTTTTACCTGTTTGATTTTAACCATAAAACCTATAAAGACCCGTTTCATAATTTTTAATCCCTTGCTTCTTAAACTCAGAATGTCTCAGAAGATGTTTAGAAGCAGAAAAGACAAAAGTAGTCAAAAAAGGAAGGCAAACCTTAACTACATGGGTAGCAAGGCTGATGTTAAACACGTCATAAATTTTTATCATGAGTATATGCTTGTACTGCCATGTTTCTTGTTTATGAAAAAATTCATCCTTACCATAAGTAATTTTTTCATTATGTACTTAAAAAATATAATAAGTGCTTCTAGTTTCTTCTAGTTTCACTCTACTAGAACTCCAGGCCCTTCAACACCTCTTAGAGATTAGCAGGGATTTGTTACAAAGGAGATGTAAAACTGATTCCTTCATGCATACTAAGTAGAATATTTTAATAATTTCAATTAGATTAAATTAATTCATATCTATACCTAAATATAAAAGTTATAGTTTTAAGCAGATGTACTAATTATAGGAAAGAAAGCATAAAATCCACTTATTTTCATTACAATTGTCACTTTAAACACCTAGAACTTAAAATGTTTGAGCCTTGGACCTCCTGCAGCAGATCTGGTACCCCACATTAGTGACAATGCTTGTCAGCTGGAGTCCATCCAAGGGATCTGGGGAGAGGCAGAGGCCCCACTGTGTGAAAGTTAAAATAGCTGTATGTCCAGTTGTGAGGCTTCACATTATGAAAAGTGCATCTATTATTCTTGTAAACAACAAGCAGTGTTGTTAAAACATAAAACTGGTTTGCTTTTGTGCTAAATCTTTACAAAGTAGAGAGAATATGGAGGCCCTGAGGTCTCTTTGCCCTTAAAGAATGATCTGAGTATCCATCCTGGATGTTGCACTGAAGGGTCTAAAATTGCAAGTCCTGATGGTGGATATCTGCTGTTACACACTTAAATGCCAGATGTTTACATTTAGGAACAACAGAAAAGATTGGTTTATCTTACATTCCACGGTGGTCTGAATTTACCTGCTATTTTTACCTGCTAATCATGTCCAGATATTCATTATGTTATCACAGAAGTCCCTGGCAAAGGGACTTGCTGTTTACCTTGTGGCAGGCACTATTTGTGTGAAATACTGTTCAGCAAGGGGTCACAATCTGCCCTTTGTGGATTTAGAAGCCAGGTATTTGATCCTCATTAAGCACACTTCTCCATGCCATTCGAAGGGGGAGTCCTTCATTAGGAGAAGAAAATAGCAAAGTACATTTTCTAAGTCTTTCTCAATAATGTGAATTTCCATTTCTTCTCATGCAAACAAGGCAGAAAAGCAATGGCAAGTAATGTCCTCAAAATCAGGAAGCAAGAGTGTGATGACTGCAATATGTACAAATTTTTTAAATATCTCTGCAGAGAGGATTGATTTCCTGGGTGTCTAAGCAGACTTTGCAGAAAGCTTGCCTGCCATGAAACCTTCAAGATTTTGCACATATCATGCATTTGTTCTGTTCAGTCCTCCATCATCTGGTGTAAATATTTCTTATTTAAAGCTTGCACATTATGGTGATAAAGTTTTACAGACTAATAAAAGACCATGGCCAAGATTTTCAAAAATGACTAATGGTTTGGGAAACCTTTTGTTTTGCGTATCCAACCTGAGACTCTTTCCAGAACCTTATTTTCAGTAAGAGACAGCTAACAATTTTGTGTTAATGAGGTCATTTTTAACTTGAGAAGCTGAGTGATCAAAGGCAAATGTTAGTGAAACACAAAATGCTCCTGAGACCATCAGCAATCTCCCAAAAGTTAACAGTATGAAAGATATTTGCACAACAATAAAAAGAAGCGGGAAAAAATATTGCAGTAAAAATAGTGTGAATACCCACCCTGAATTTTGGAGATAATTTCTAAGAGATACTGCTGGGATTGTTCTAGTTTGAGAAAGGTGTCTGCAGCAACTACAGGATTTTTACTCCACATGTCTCCTTTCAATCCACACTGTTAATCAAGAGAATTTGTATTAAAAAAGTATAAAAAAGTGAGAAGAATCAACAACTGCAGGGGGTAGCAACACCTCCTTGAGAGGACTAATGTACATGCTTGAAACTAAAACAGCTCACAACCTTGAGCAAGACTAGAAGAGTAAAAAATACAGAAAATCCATTGGGAGGAGAAATGGACAACTGGGAGCGCTGTTTGGAGCAGTTGCTCTGTTTTAGCGCCAGAGTTGCTGACAGTGAAAAAATGCATCGCTTTCTCTCAGTAATGGCTGCCATATGTCTGAGATTGAATTCGAAGCAAGGTCTGTTAAGCATCAAGCATGTGTACGGTTCATCACCAGAAAACCCAGGAGTGCACTGCAAGCAGGGCTTACTCATTAGCCCTGTAGATTGCTCCATTTAGCAAAGGCTGCAGTCCAGGGTGCCTAAATTTGGGAACTACTTCACTAAAAACTGAGTGCCTTGCTCCACAGGACAATCAGTTCATCTGAAACATGCTCTTGAATTATCTTCATGGTTACTAGAGAAAAGGTAGCGCTTCAGAAGCTGAAGACA